GTGGTGTGGTGTATGTGTGGGTGTGTGTGATGTGTGTAGGTGTGTATGTGTGTGTGTGTGTGTATGTGTGTGTGTGTGTGTGGTATGTGTGTGTGTGTGTGTGTGTGTGTGTGTGTATGTGTGTGTGTGTGTGTGTGTGTGTGTATGTGTGTGTGTGTGTGTGTGTGTGTGTATGTGTGTCTCACCTGGTTTCTGCTGCTGTAGTGTTTGAGTGTTTCCTGCAGCAGTGATCTGGTATCATCTGCTTCCTGTAACCGACCAATCAGAGCCTGCAGGAAGAGATAAGATACAGCCTTACAAAAGATATACTGAAACCTAGACAGAACACAAAGGGTGTTTCTCAATCGCGAGTAAAGCTGCTTCAGAGCCACTATTTCAAGCATACTACGTCATCGAGTGTCGCCGAAGTACTGTTCCAATCTCCAGCATACTTGGAAATCTACCGAGCCCGGCGTACTCCGTTTGGAGAAATATCGAGGCTGCACATGAGTAGACTCCGCGGTCTTAAAATCCCCACAATGCTTTGCGCACGGACCAATTTCCCCAAATCTGTGGCGGAAGATATGACGCACACCTGCACACTTGCTCGCCTGTTCCACTCTTCGTTTTCCGAATGGCAGGAAGTATTCTTGCCTCGCTTCTGAAGCAAGATGCTCGGCAGACATGTGCTACCAAGCAAGCGTACTCGCGATTGAGAAACACCCAGAGTCACAGAAACATAAAGAAAGCCCTCCAGTGTTGACCTCTGACCTCCAGTGTGCTGCTGACTCTGGTCAGGTAGAGCGCCTCCTGCTGGAGGAAGTGTGTATAGCAGCGCTGAGTCAGATTCCCAGCCCGCAGCTCCTGGAAGAAGGAGGAGGATCGGAGGATTTCATCCGCCTGAAGCTCACTGAAGCCCCACACCACGTCCCAGAGACTCGCCCCGGGGACCAGGCCTGAAGAGAACACATATTAAGCAAAGGGACATTACCTAAAGGCAAGGCACGTTTATTCATACAGCAGCTTTCAACACGGAGCAGTTCAAAGGGCTTTACAGACGGCTAAGACTTTAAGAGCATTTAGAAAAACATTTAAAATACATGAATAAAAGTCACAGTGCAGTGAAGTAAAAGTAATAGTTGTTCTTACCTGAAGACGACAACAGCGAGACAGAAGCCAGGAGCAGACACACACACACACACTTCATCCTCTACCTGAAACACACACACACACACACACACACACACACACACACACACACACACACACACACACACACACAATAAATACATAAAAATACTAAGTTAAGTTAAAGTCACTAACGAGGGCAAATACACGGGGAAATCTTAACCTGAAATTAAATTAAAGCTGTTAGATAAATGTAAAACAAATAAGGCGTGTGGCGTAGTGGGTTGTGCGTTGGTGTTGGGATCAGGGGGGTCACAGGTTCAAACCCCACTGCAGTCAGCATGTCGTTGTTTCCCTGATTCACTTCACCCCAAATTGCTCCTGTGGTCAGGCCCGGACTGGCCATCGGGAGGACCGGGAGGTTTCCCGATGCTAAGTGGCCTGCTGGCCTGAGGATTTTTTTTTAATGTATGTATTGTGAACGCAACGCTGCGCAAATGTGGGTCTGCCTCACAGAGGGTGACTGGCTGTCAACATGATGTGGCCTGCCGACATGGCCACTTTCATACAGATCATACACTAAAGCCCTCGATTGGTCTCTGTGTGTCATTCAAGCTCGGGACGGTGTGTGTGTGTATGTGTGGCGCGAGCGAGCGAGAGAGAAAGCGCGCGTGTATTGTTGTTATTAGCATCTGGTGCTAGCTAGCTGCGCTAACGGATATAAGGAGCTGTTTCAACAACAAGGTGGAGGAGAGTCCTCTCTGCTGTCAGACTGAGAGACTGATAACGTCAGCTCAGTGAGGTAAAGGACTCTCTGAGTGTTTAGATAGTTAACTTAGTCTAAGTTATCTCTGTGGGTCTCAAACGGTTTGGTCACCATTTATGTAAACACATATTTCCATTTGAGGGGGGAGTGATTAGTAAAATATCCATGAATAATAATAAAAAAACGTTAACTAGGTGAAAAAAGGTAAGATACACTTTAAAAACTTGTTGAGAGCTAAAACTAGTCTTTGCTGCTGCCTCAAAGAGGAGCAGGGGGGAGAGGGGGGAGAGGAGGGAGAGGAGGGAGAGGAGGGAGAGGGGGGAGAGGGGGGAGAGGAGGGAGAGGAGGGAGAGGAGGGAGAGGAGGGAGAGGGGGGAGACAGGTGAGGCTGGTTCAGGAGCCCAGACACACTCACAACTATAAATGAACCAAAAACAAATAAATAAACAACTTTTCTATGTTTTTTCATATTGGATATGGTATGTTATTGGTTATGGCCATGTTCTTATGATTTTATGATTATTGAAATGTATACAGTAATGTTTCATCAGGGTGTTTCCATAGATCTAGACTCTTTATTTTCCCCTCAAAGTGCACCAGATTGATGCATTCAACTCCAACATAAAAAAAAAAAAAACCTTACCAGGAGCATGCCCCCGGACCCCAAGAGGATTTGAGGCTTAAAATATGTTCACATGGATAGGTTTCCAAATACATTGGCACATTTTTTTAAATAGTAACCCATGTCCATATGTTTATTTTGGGGTAGTAGATTTAAACTAGAGGGCTATCACTATGGGCAGCAAGGCTGTAAATATTCACAAATAAATCCAGCAAAATGGCACAAAGAACTGGTAGTGGCCAGGCTGGGTGTATAATTCCCGGCCTGACTTATTGTCCCAGTCCGGCCCTGCCTGTGGGATTGCCCACAGTATTGAGTATGTAAATCGCTTTGGATAAAAGTGACACGTAATGTAATGATTTAAAAGAAGTCGAGGTATATTGGTAATAACCGAGTGTCTTTGATATGAAAATCCCTCGGTCACTTCCTTATTTGCCTCCTCACCTCACCTCTGAATAATGATTGATGTAAATAAAGAATATGTAGTAAGTAGTGCAAAGTGTATTATTATCTAAGTTTGCACTGTACGATCTGTGGTGTAGTGGGCTGTCACTCACAAAAAGATATGTTAAAACAAAGAAAAAAAAGACTAAATTAAATGTATTTAGCTTAGGGTTATTTTAGGGTTAGGGTTAAACTCTTAGTATGAAAGTGTTGCTTTATCTTAATGACACAAAACTAATTCCATATGGCAGTGCATTGTGTATTATTATCTAAGTTTTCCGCTACTTTTATGGTTAATTTAAGATCTAAAATTCAGCAGTTTTCCGTGGATTATGCTACAAAGACAAAGGAAAAGTCTCTTCAACCAACATCACTGTCGTGTCAAACTGCGAACCCGTCGAGAAGCAGAAATAAACCAAAGTGGATCCAAATGAAAGATATCTGTAAGAGAAACTCACCTCTCTGCTGGTCTCCTGCCTTGCACTTTGTCCTCGGAAACTAAACTCTAATCATAAAATAAAACAAAGGATTATTTATTATCCGATGTTCAGGAGAGACGTTTAACTGCGTCAGGTTTTATTTGAACAGGTGATCCTTTCTCTTCACCTCTGTCGGGTGAAATGCAAATGATCGGAGACTCGATACAGAGGAGACATTTTCAAAAAGAGGATTTGAATACTTCCTCACAGCAGTTGCATGTAAGGATCACAACTCACAGTGTTTGCATGGATCAGGGAAACTAGAAGGACAGGTTTGACTGAGCGACGCCTGAGGCTGAGCCGATATAAAGGATTTTCATTTCAATAAATCTGCCTAAAATATTACTAGATGTTGGCATTGATTTCATTATTTTACAAATCACTGTATGTACTTTAGCTTATATAAACAATTCTATATTTCTTGATATGTTATTTATTTATAGAGCTGGTTGATGCAGGGAAAAGAAAGTTTGGGGCTCTCTGCTGGAACTGCTACCCCCGCGACCCGACCACGGATAAGCTGGAGAAGATGGATGGATGTTATTTATTTAAGACTTTGTAAATACATTGGGGATTTCTTACAATATTGTTGAGTAAATAAATAAATAAAGAAACATAAAATAATCCTACGAACCAACAACAACTATTAATAAAAATGACATTGATGTTGTTTTACTTAACAAATCAAATATAGTTAGGATCCCGTGTTATCGCGCAGAGCCTCTAAAGAACTGCTAAGAAATACATTAAAAAAACCACTTAAAATTCCCTTTTACCTAACTTTAAGTGTTAAAACCTATTATATATATTGAATTGACCCTCTTTCTGATCACCTACCTGAGTTAATTCAGACGTCTACTTGTTGGAAACTGTCCCGCTGCCAAAGCTGTGCATCACCTGTAACCTAAAGAGAGAGGAGACAACTGAGGAGGAAGTGGAAATGTCAAATATGTTTCAGGTTTGACGTGTAACGCCAACCTTTCCCAATCCAAAAGAGGTAGGTTTGCGCGCGGCAAATATGCACGCCCAAATGAGGTAATCAGAAGAAATGGAACCCCAGTATTTACATACCATGTATTTAACATATATTGCTTCATTTTATGCATTTTATGCATTTTTCAGAAAAAGTGGTAGTGTGGTAAACAGTGACATCAACGACATGTTAAAGATAAATATCCCAAAGTCTCCACATTTTATTATATTTTTGATATTAACGGGGAAACGCTGCAGGACTCAAATGCCTCGTCTCGGTTCCCCTAAACTGGAATCTGACCCAGTCCGGCCACATGAAATGTCAACGGGGGGGGACATCGGAAAACACATAAAAATACAGTACTATTAATTATTAGAAAACAGCTGTTTATTAGGCTGCATTTATGCAGTTCAAGGGATAATTCTCACCTAAAGAGGGAGGACACTCCTCAGATGTCTTAAATACATGGGACAGCGTAAAACAGTAAACACACAAACATACAGTAGGGGAGACCAGGGACAGTTGGAACACGGGTTGGTTGTAACACCTTCAATATCTCCAATCACAAACAAGCTAGAGTGATGACACTCACTCTGCACATGCGCAGTTAGATGGTGAGCTCGATGAGAAAAAACGGAGCCACGTTTGAATTTCTCGCGTAAGATATCGGCAAAAGTGTGTTTCTGAGGTAAAATATTAACTAAAATGATATGATGTATTTTTTGGATACTGTCTTGAGTTCAAATGTCTAGGAATCCAAACTAGTATTATTAGAATCACTGTTTTGTAAGCTACACATATAACTAACTAAATATGGGTCAAGCTAGCAATCAGGCAGGTTCACAGGGGGTGAAAGCAAGACTGGTGGTCCTGGGACGGTTGTAACGGGACGGTTGTAACATGGCACATTTACAATGATGGCTCATTTGCTTGAATTATCAATTGTTCATTCAAGCATACAGTTGTATTGTTGATTGGTGTGCATTGTCCCTGTAAAAATAAACAGAATAAAATACTGTACAGTAGGCCTAAAGTGTGTGTGTGTGTTTACAGTATGTCAAATGTCAGAAAGAGGAAGACAGACAGGGGAGTGCCACTTGCTCTGCTGCAGATGGGCTCAAATTAAGTTCAGGAGGGCAAATCATTCAGGGAAGTGGCAAAGTCCCTGGATATATGCCATGTCACCCTGTACCGGTTCCATACAAAGAGGCTGAGGTTGGAGAGTCAGACAAACCCAACAAGAAGCAGAAGATACAGGACTCATCTGATGAAGATGAGGCCCAATACTGCATTGTGTGCCTGGAGAGCTACTCCAGGTCCAAGGAGATCTGGCTGCAGTGTTGCTCCTGTAAAGCCTGGGCACACAAGGACTGCACAGATGGAAGTGCCTTTTACACCTGCCACAACTGTGAATCTGATTAATTCTGGTGTTCTGTTTTAAGTTCTGTTCAAGTTCTGTTAATTGTTCATTGTTTGTTGGAGGATGTGTGAAACCCCATTAAAATCTTGTTGCCTTAGAATTTGACTGCTTTCCCTATTTTTTGTCATGTAGTGTGAAAAAAGGTAACCGTTATTAACATGTTACAATCGTGCCTGGCATGTGCTACAACTGTCCCTGTACACAAGGACAGTTGTAACAGTTGAGTTTTTTTTTTTAAATACATTTTCCAACCTGTACTTATTTCATAAAAACATCTTAAATACATTGTTTCAGTAGCTGACATATTGATAATGTATAATATAGCAAAATGGCTATCCTATTGTAAATGGTTTTTTACTTATTGGGGAAAAACCCAAAAAGTGTTGCAACTATCCCTGGTCTCCCCTACTATTTGTTATTAGTTATTAGAAATCAGCTGTTTATTAGGCTGCATTTATGCAGTTCAAGGGATCATTCTCCCCCACCTCTTGCTCTTGCCCTGCTCTTGTATGTGCCAGTCAACTCTCTGTCCCTCATCATGAACGCAGGAGGCTGGCTGTATATCTGAACTCGCGCCCTCATCATTCTCTTCATCATCTTGCACTTGTTCTAAGCTGCTGATGATAGTGCTTGTGGCAGCACTGCTGCCAAAAAGGTCTGTCAAATTGCGACATTTATATGCTTCACCTGCGAGTGACTTCACCTTTTTTTCTCTTGCCTTCTCGGCCGCACCTTTTTCTTTTCGTTTTTCTTTGATTTTTATCCATGTTTTTTCATTCTCCCTGTCTGCCACGGCGTCTAATCCCTTCTCTTCGTGTGGCCGGTCTTTTTTCTTCTTCGTGTGTGATTATTTGACAGATAAGAACCACACAACTGCATTAGCGGTCGCTGTCGCCCTCTGTCGGCCGTCAGCGCAACTTAAATGATGACGTTAAACAATTTCTTTTTAAAGGGCCGGCCGGCCGTCAACGGCCCTTGACGACCGGCCGTTCTGTGGTTCTCCAGATTCTACAGATGGCCAGTCCGCCCCTGTTTGGGAGTGATTACCCATCAGCCCCGGGGGTAACGCTGCCCTTCCTCTGCACGTTGTTTCTCTTTCAGAAACACAGAGGACTGTTTGTATGATGGGATCACAGACATGCTGCAAACGGTGTCCGCCAAAAGTCGAGTCCAGTGTCTATGTAGTGTTGTAGTGCCGAGAGACGGGAGTCGGAGGCGGGGTATCAAAGGTACAAGTTAGACTTTTATTTAGCATCAGAACAACATGTAAACAGCTTCAAGCCCGGGAAGCGAAGACCGGCGTAAACAGGAAGTCCGGTTAACTAAGATGTCCGTGCGGAACAATACCCCAACCCATAGATCCGTGGGTGAATAATGTCAATCACCACACAAGCCCCCCCAGAATTCACCCATAGTCAAAATCCTCGCGCCTGGGAGGAAGTACCACCCGACCCCGGCGCGTAAGGACCACAGGGGCCGAGGAGGGCGGGGCCGCAGGCGAGGGCAGGGGCGCCAACGAGGGCGAGGGCATCCCCACAGGGGGCGGGGGGCGGGACATGGGAGGGCGGCCCCGACGTGGGGGCAGAGCCAACTCCAACAGCCTGGAAACGTCCACGTGAGCAGGCTTAATCCGATCGACGGACACAGTCTCAGGCCTGCCACCAACGTCCACCACCAGGTTCTTGTCCCCGTGACGTATGACCCTGAACGGACCGTCGTAAGGGGGCCGCAGGGGACCACGGTGGGTGTCGTGGTGAATAAAAACGAAATCCGCCGACCGTAATCCGGGGGACACCCGGAAAGCTGGGTTGCTGTGCTGCGACGTGGGGACGGGCGTGAATGTCCCGGCGGTCTCCAGCAGGGAGGAGCGCTGCCAGGCCGCAGACCAGGGCACAGTGGCGGTGGGAATAACGTCGGCTCTGGAGCTTCTGCTAGGTGGCATGCCTCTACCAGGGAAGGTGCCGCTGCGTGTCGGGGCCAGCACCTCAGGGGCAAAACGCTGGGTGGCCAGGAAGAACCGGTCAGCTTCTTCGGCTAAAGCGCGGGGCTCAGTGATAGCCGTGTTAGCGAGCGCCGTCTGAACATGCGGCGGCATGTGCCGAAGAAACAGTTCTATGAACAAAACATTGGGTTCTTCCGTACCCAGCAGGCTGAGCATCATTTCCATGTGGTCGGAAGGCTTGCTGTCTCCCAGGCTATGAATAGCGAGCAGGCGCCGGGCCCGTTCCGACCGTGACAGCTCGAAAGTCTTTAGCAGGAAAGCCTTGGACGCAGCATATTTATCCTGGGCAGGGGGAGATGTAATAAAGCCCACCGTTCGGGTCGCAGTGGAGCTTCCCAGTGCCGAAACGATGTGAAAATAGCGTGCTGCGTCATCAGTTACTCCGCGGAGGGCGAACTGAGCCGCAGATGTCTCCCAAAACTCCGGCAGTTTGAAAAAAACGGCGTTATTTGCGCAACTGCGATCGCCGTCTTGCTCGTGCGTTGCATGATGGTTAGTCATTTTGTCCGACTTGCTCTGGAGGCTCGCCTACATGAGACGTTGAAATCTCGCGGGACAAAGACGCCCGCAGACTTGAGAGCGAGGCGGCGCAGTTTCTCTCCACGGGCTGCGGAAGCTAAATGCTTGATGGGAAACGACTCGCTGGTATCTCGAGCTGAGCGCTCATTGGTGGTTTTTACCCCGTGCTGGAGATGAAACTCTCCATTGGCTCGGCAAAAGTGTGTTGTTGTTTTGTGTCAGTTTTACGTCGCCACTTCCATTCACATTTTTCATCATTGTTCCACAATGTTTATCATCATGAAATTAATATCTATATATTTTATACTATACTTGCACTGCTTACCGTTGTCATACTTTATATATCTTAGCATATTCATACACACTGTTCATACTGCTCACAGGCTGCTGTGTATATTTAGTGTAAGATATGTAAGGAAAAAAGAGTGGCAAATAAATGAAGTGGGAATTAAAACGAGTATGTACCTGAACGAAAAGTATTACAATTACCTCAACATGTACACAGATGGATCTAAGAAGCAAGAATGCGTGGGGATAGGCGTGTATATCACAGAATTCATCAAAACGAGTGTCACATAACTTATCAGTTTATACAGCAGAAATACTAGCAGCAGTTATTGGGCTACAATAGGTTGAAGAAGTCAAATAGGGTGGTGATATGCACAGACTCACTATCTGCTTTGGAAAGCAAACAGTCCACAATAACTGTTAGAGAAGATTTAATCATTGAACTTAACCATTGCTTACTGAGACTTCAGAGGAAGGGGATAGATGTGCAGTTATGCTGGGTGCCTGCACATGAGGGGGTCACCTGTAACCTAAAGAGAGAGAAGACAATGAGGAGGGAGTGGAAACGTCAAATATGTTTCAGGTTTGACGTGTTTTGTGTGTAGGGTTACAATGGTGAGCAGACAATGGTGATATAAGGAGTTGAGACCATGGATGTATGAGGAGAACTGGATACAGCGTGGGAGGCGGGGTCTGGTTCTTTCCTATGAGAGCTGCTCATTGGCCAACTTTTGAGAGA